CAAAGATTATTTTCCCCCATAAAAATTATCATGGTATCTGTATTCTACTAACTCTGGCAGAAAAATAAGTTCAGTACTGTTGTCTTAGAACCATAGAATAGCTTAGGTTGGAAGAGACCTTGAAGATCATTGAGTCCAACCGTTAACCCAACACTGCTGAGTCCGCCACTAAACCATGTCCCCGAGCGACACATCTACACGTCTCTTCACCACCTCCAGGGATGGTGACTCAACTGCTTCCCTGGGCAGCCTGTTCCAGTGCTTGACAACCCTCTCAGTGAAGGAATTTTTCCTAAGATCCAATCTAAACCTTCCCTGACACAACTTGAGGCCTTTTGCTCTTGTCCTATCACTTGTTACCTGGGAGAAGAGACAAACACCCACCTCACTACAACCTCCTTTCAAGCAGCCTGACACCTGGGTGGCAGCATGTTCCCACCGGAGCTCTGTCTGGGAAGCTGCATCAGTCATCAGTCGTGGTGGGTGTAGAGCTTAAAGAAGACATGGGTTTCTACCAGGTGGACACCATTGCTCCCCAGTCGAGCTGGCAGAGCTCCAGCACCCTTCCTGCACATCTTGCTGCACAAACTGCTGCACCTCACACCCTGGTGGCTAGTGCTCCCTAAGGGCTGTTTTTGGGGAAGGGTGCACTTGGCCACCGGTGCTCCTGGCCCCGGTCACGTCTCATCGGCCAGAGTGACGCGAGCTGTAGGCTCCTGGAAGCTATCTGAGGTTCCCTCAGTTCAGGAAACCTCCCTGTACACCTCGCTGGAATGCTTTGCTGCAGATCATGCAGGCACCGGAGCTGCTCACGTCAGCAACCTAACCATGTTTAAGGTTTGGATATAGATCCTATCCAACTAAGGCCATCTTAATTTAGAAATATTACCTACAGTTAACAAATGCACTAGGAAACCAAATGTTTCACTCCATGAGAACAGCAATGAAAGCCCTGCTAATCTCTCCTTGACTTCATGTAATCTTCAAATTTATCAACAGAAGTTAAAGTCAGAAGGTAACAGTGCACTAAGGTTTAGTGGATGGTGCACATCTATTAAGAACTTTAAAACTTGCAATAATTAACAAGTAAGGTCAAGATTTTCCTCAATTATATAAACCAGTAAAGAAGGGAGAACACTTGCACAGCAAGGTAGAACAAAATCACTGGAACTTAAATTTTGGCAACATCACCGAGTGTTCAACCAACCTTCTTTGAAGAGCAGAGAATAGAGACAAAGAGTACCAGAAGATGAGATCAACAATAATCAGACTTGAGAGCTACAATGTGTAGGATATGGTCAGAGTCCTCCCTGAATTCCTTAGGTAGTACTTCCAGAGGCCACACACAGCTACCTGCCTTAGGAGTTCATTAGAACTGTTTTGGAACCTTTTCCTAAACAGCTCTTTGAGTTACAATCTATTGTCTCCGAGTAATCCGCACAAACAATTAGAGAGCTAAAAACTGCTGACTGCATTTTTCAGAAGGGGTAGTTGGTAGCCAGCATTCACTAAAACCTCAGCATAAAGCAGAATCATATGACCCTAGAGGGTAAAAGAAGCCAATACTGGAGCACAGTGGATACTTCCCTGAATCCCTACTACAGCACTTGAAGCTGCAGCCACTGCATTTGAAGTTGCTGTATTTAAACACTGTAAGAAAACAAAGTCGGATTAAGCTAAACACTGCTCAAACCTGCGAGAGCAAATATACTTTTATGACGTCCAAGGACATCAAAAGTGTTTGTTACTGTGCGTCAAAAACAGTTTTAAGAGCAGAAGCTGAATAACTGGCAACATTTCCAATTATATTTTGACCGCGCGGCAGATGTGAATAGTGCTCAGCTGCAGCAAAGCTCTCATAATGCCAATTAACTGGAGAAGCCAGTACACATGAAACAAGAACTGGAATTCCTAATGTGCAGAGAGGTGAACTCACAGTACGCAGCGCAGAGATTCGGGAGATGCAATCTAATGGAAATTTCATGCATGGAAGAAAGAAAAGTGATCTTGAATTAAATAGTAAACCTTTACAGCTTCTTTCAAGCGTTATAAACTATTTTGTGGCTCTTCCAAGCATGTATTCCACACCATCGTTTCAAAAAAAACCAACCTCAACTTTACACAAAACTTTTAAAAATAGGAAAATAAGAAAATCCTACATACAATCCATACAGTCTCCACTTCTTTTTTCTTCTTCCTATTACCTACCTTCTTTTTAGAGGAAGATGAGCAGGACAGCAGAAAGCTGGAAGAAGTAGTGAAAGATAAAAAGAGTTGAAATGCACAGAACTAGAGAAAAAACGAAGATGACAAAATGAGTGTCTGAAGCAGAAGATGGGAAAAAGGTCTACCACAGTAAAATCCTTCAAAAGAAGGCAAATAAAGTACATTTCAGCAACACTCAAAAACACTCCGCAAATTGTGTTAATTTTTTAAATTTTTGTATGCAGTGCTACTTGAAACCAAAAAATGTTTAACAGGGCATGCAATCTTCAAGGCACTGATCAAAAATGAACAGCTGATTACAACGTGATTCATTTCTGAAACATGTAAAATCTTCAAATTAGAAGGATCACAAGCTTCCTAAATATGCACGGTAAAAGTAATCCTGAAACGGATGCTGAGCAGAAAAAGCATCTTCAGTGAATCTGGTGAAAAGCTGGCACGTCAGTGCTAAGGTGATTCTGTTACCGTTCAACCTGAGACTCCGTTCAGCCCTTCACACTTTGTGGCACCACCTGCTCGGGGTTTGGGGTTGTCCCACTGCCCCAAACCCTACGCTCTGCCCTTGGAGACTTACCTCGTTCTTCATGCTCACTAACTCAGCGAGAAGCTGGAGGGCAACACATGAAGTTGCTTCCCTCATCTCAGAGTTACACAACTACGTGCAGTTCAGCCAAGCACTGTAAGAAGCTTGTGAAAATCCTCTGGGAAATCCTTCTGGGAGTATGTAAGTAAGCTATGAAAGTTGGTAAGCTACAAGAGTGTTTACAAAAAGGGAATTATACTTTCATATTCTTAATTCAGGTGGTTTTTACTTACACGTCATGTACTTATCTATTCAATACCTCAATAACAGACCTGAGAGCTGATGAACAAGCAATATGATCTATACTGGAAACTATTTCTCTAACTGGATCGTCATTTTTAGTGAACGAAGTCTGGATTCTTGAACACAAAGGCAAACACAGTATGTGTAACGTTGCATTTATGCGATTCACTGGCTGTTTCTGATCTTATGTCACCCTTTCAGTTTTAACTAGCTGCTCCCTTCCCAGTTGTTCAGTTTCTTCCCCAGTTAACCCAACTGAGTACAGAGTACGGTACCAGTCACAGACACAGAAGGTACTTATAGGCTACAGAGGGAGCAGGACACATTCACCAGGGCAACAAGAATTTTTTTTTTTTAAGAAAAGAAGAAAGAATGACTAGGGTGTGAAAAAGTGCAGGTCCCCTTCACAAGTATTTTTTGGAATGTCCTACCTTAGGCAAAACTTTCTTGAATTTTATACAATCAATGGGTCTCTCGAGTACATTGTAAGTACTATTTTTCATGAGTATCTGTAAAACTAGATACATAGGAAAACCCATTGTCATACAAAACTCTGTAATCACTGAAGATCTACCATGTCAGGTACTTAATTTCTGTCCCTAATGCAGTGTCTGTATCTGCTACTCATTAAATAGTTCCCCTTCCTTCTTCACCAACCAGAAGACTGATTTTCCTTCTTTCATCATTTTTCTCCCTCTCCTTCTTTAATAGCGTTGCACAGACAGAGAGATGTAAGGTTTTCTGTACAATAACAGCAAGGTCACTCTCAAATAAGAGTGAAGGACCCACTTTCCAAAATTCCAGATAAAAACTGGAAAAGAAGAACTAGGAAAAGTAAATAAGATGACTATCACCATTTTGTAGTCATTCTTTAATCTCTTACCTTTCCTCTCCCGTTCTCCTTCAACCCATATTGGCCAACCTCCTACAGCAATGCAGAAATCCAGAAAAAAAGAAGGAAACAGACCAGCATAATAGAGGAGAAGCTTACAGATGTTGACAGTACAGCATATCATAGCATGAGAGGAGACAGAACTATTTAAAATGAAAATTTATTTTTAAGAGAACAAGCTATGGTAACTTCAACAGTGAAGAGTCAAGGAAAATGCTCTGTAGATTGTTTAGATAAAAAGACCAACGGAGGGGAAAAAAAAAAAAAAAAGGAATTTAATGTTTCCTGGGGAAAAAAGTAGACCTGCTACATTTCTGCCCAAATCAAGAGAACAGAGAATTGTCTAATATCCTGAACTGTTGATTTTGAGCAGAATTTATGCAGAACTACCTAATTCAGGGCAGGAGGAAACGCGATGAAAGGGGAGAGGAGGAATCTGGCTTTTAATGAAGAAATAGATTGAAAGAAAGGAGGTCCTAGCAGAACAGCATCTCTACAAACTGTGTTAAAAACAATACAGGAAGGGCAGATTTCTGAAAATATCGTGACGATTAATTTTAAGAGCAGAACAGTAAAAATGTTTTCAAGCATTCCTAGTTTCACTGATATTACAAAAAATCATTCATTTGGAATTATTTACATTAGGACAGGATACTTAAAAGGTTATTCTTTCCTGAGTTAGTTTCTTTAGGTCACTTTTAAGCTGACTCTCCCATTAGAGAAGAGGAAATGTTTCTGATGGAATGAATGCTCACAACAAATGCTCTGACTTTCATCAGAACTCCTATGAAACAAACTGTTTTGGAATCCATGTCTCTATTTTGAAAGTTGCATCTTCATTCAAATTAAGATATACGCAAGTCTAAAAAAAGACAAGCCCTTTTACAGAAAACAATTTTACAAAAATTGTAGAGAGAGGTAATTTACATTTGGATGAAAATCGGTGTATCCAAAAATATAAGACCGGACTTTCCCTCTTCTACAGGATGCTTTTAGCAGAATTTATAAAAGAATTGATTTTTAATAATATATATATCCAGACACATATACACATACCTCGTATTCCTTCCTGCAGACCTTTAAGACATCATTCTTTGCAGAAGCCTGAAAGACAGAAAGATTTCTCCATTTGTAGCAGAAAATAACAAAATCATGTTGCAAAATAATGATTCTACCTTTATATTACCTGCAATAACCATGGAATCATGATCTATTTAAATGTTCCTTTTTAAGAACCTAAAGAATCCATGCAAAGCTTTAAGAACAAAAAAACAGAAACCATGAATGTCAATACCACATTTTATTAAAAACCAAAACCTCATATTTCTGCACCAAGTTAGTTGACACCAGAAGCATACAAAGCAACTTTGTTGTTGTGAAAGGTTTACCAGATAGAGCAGAATCCAGGAAACATTTAGCAAATGGGAGAACATGGGCATAAAAATATCTGCATTTTGCATGCTCAGTACCACTTA